CTGTCCCTCAGCTCTTCAGCTCAAGGCGAGTGCTCTACCACTTGAGCTACAGCGCCACTTCCGGTTTTCTGGTGGTTTTATTGGAGATAGGAGTCTCACAGTCTCTCCTGCCCGGGCTGGCTTTGAACAACGATCCTCAGATCTCAGCAACCTGAGTAGCTAGGATTACAGGCGTGAGCCACCAGCGCCTGACAGCAGTGACTATTTCTGTACTCATTTTTGAAAAAGGTTTTATGTGTGCATGCTGGTCCGGCGGTTTGAACTCAGGGCCTGGGTGCTGTCCCTGAGCTTTTGCTTATGGCTAATACTCTACCATTTTGAGTAGCTCAATTTCTGGCTTCTTGGTAGCTATTTGGAAATAAAAGACTGTTACAGACTTTCCTGCTGAGGCTAGCTCTGAACCACAGTCCTCAGATCTCAGCCCCCCCCCCCCCCGTTGTAGTTAGGATTATAGGCTTTGAGCCACCAGTGCCTAGCCCTAACACATTTGTTACATGGGTGTCCATTACATTTGTACATGGATGCCCATCACATTTGTAATTGTAACTGTAACCTAATGTACTATCTCTTCCCAGATAAGTGTACTTGTGCTTTGTAGGAAACCTTACATCCATTGGAAAAAAGACTGAGGAAATCATGAAAGAAGGCAAGAAAATTCACCAACTAATCAAGTACAATGACCATCTTTATAGTCTCCTGCCGCGGACCGGGGACGACGGAGGACACCTAGGGGAGGAACCTGGAATGGGGGGGAGATGGCAAACAGACAACTCACACACAAGAGGAGTGGATGCTGAGTGCCCCTCAGTTGTGACTGAGAAAGATAACGAGTAAATCAGGGGGAGTTCATCTTCTAAGAATAAGGATAGTTTGTCTCTATTTTAAAACATATGCTAAAAGCACGAGGCACTAAAGCCCCCACAGCAGCAGTGGGAGAACAAACTAATCCTTGGTTCCTGCAGGAAAAAGGGAACCATTGAAAAAGTGAATGTAAATCTAAGTTCCATAAAAACGGAAACAAAAAACGGACAGAGGAGCAACCAGCTCCTCCCCAAGAGAATAAGAAACAATTAGATCATTTGATACAATTTTCATATTTCAGGAATGGTGAAAGCCTGCAGGTGTGGTCTTGGGGCTGGCGGAAAGTCTTGGCGGACGCGCTGTAAGACTGCCAGCGGGGCCAGTGGGAGACGTCCCCTGAACCCCTGGGTGGGGCTATCCTCAAGATCAGGTAGAGGGGGTTCGAGTCCCCCTGATTGGCCGATTCTCTCTGGTTGGAAGCCCTTCTGGACAGACTGTCTGACCAGCAGTCTAACATGCTTGCTGTCTGTCTTGAGTGTGAGTATATGTCTTCTGTTAACTCTAATTTGAATCTTAGGCACGCAGCCCTGGGGCCGGTGGATGAGGGGCTTACTGATCCCCTAGGTGTCCTCCGTCGTCCCGACAGAACCCGGTCCGCGGCAGTCTCCATGTGACTGTTCAAAATAAAAATGTATTGGGCTGGGAAGGTGGCTCAGTGGTAGAGCGCTAGCCTTGAGCTGAAGAGCTGAGGGACAGCACCCAGGCCCAGAGTTCAGGCCCCACTACTGGACCAAAAAGAAAAAAAAGAAAAAAGCCAAAAGTGGCGCTGTGGCTCAAATGGTAGAGCGCTAGCCTTTAGCTGAAGAGCTGAGGGACAGCGCCCAGGCCCAGAGTTCAGGCCCCACGACCAACCAAAAAAAAAACAACAAAAGAAATGTGCCTATAAAAGAATGTGCTGGATGGATGGGCACAGGTGGCTCCCGTCTGAAATCCACTAACCACCAGGAGGCTGAGATCTGAGGATCACATTTCAAAGGAATATGAAAGTTCATGAGACTATCTCTAATTACCCACCAAATAGTGGATTAGAGCTGTGATTCAACTGGTAGATACTAGCCTTGAGTAAAAAATGTCCAGAGAGGAAGTGGTGCTGTGGCTCAGGTGATAGAGCGCTAGCCTTGAGCTGAAGAGCTGGGGGACAGCACCCAGGCCCAGAGTTCAGGCCCCACGACTGACAAAAATAAATTTAAATAAATATATGATTTTTTTGTTTTTGGGTCCGGTCGTGGGGCCTGAACTCTGGGCCTGGGCGCTGTCCCTCAGCTCTTCAGCTCAAGGCTAGCGCTCTACCAC